CCTAGGTGTTTTAACTGCTCAGGCTATTGGATAGAGAAGAAGAAAAACACCTCTGTTCATCTTTATGTGAAACTTGATCCGATGAATATGTTTGCAAGTCCTTTCTGTGTTTAGGCCTGCAGGTAAAAAAAAAATACAGTGAAATACCTTGAGAATCTAAGTACATCTTGGGTTACTGAACAACTCAGAAGTATTAAGACACAAGCAGTTTTACATATTCCTGTTCACAAAAACAGCCAGAAGCAATGCTAGGCAGCAACTCAAAAGGGATTTTAGGAAGTTGGTAGCAAATAAATGTCACTCAGGCACCCAAAAGTAGCAAATGGATACCTGGTTTTACTGATTTAGCCCCAAGTGCCCACCATGCTAGTCAAGTAATGGTTGGCATGGCCACACAAGAAAGCTGCTGTGCTATGAGTGAGGCAGCATGAGTTCTGTCTTATTGCCCAGGGCCTGCCATATGACTTTGTATTTGCTGACATTTTATTTCTCTTTCCAAAACAGGAAAAGGGGGAGATTTCTGGACTTTTATCATGTTTCCTTCTCAAATTGCTCTGGTTTGTCATCCCAAGATAACCTTTGCAAAACTTTGCTTGCTGCTGGGGAGAGAAAGCATTCATTTGAACAGACATAGTTTGTGTGTGCATCTGGTGTATGCAACTTTGGCCTATGTTCATTATAGAACTGTGTGATATAAGGGCTTTGCAAGTAGCTAGTAATATTTTTATGAAAACAGCTTAAATAGATTGCTTGGCTTAAAACCCATTCTCTGGTTGATCCCTAGGAGAGAGAGTGCAGCAATTCTCCCCCTGTGCTCATGCTGTTTACCTTTTGCTAAACAGGAAGAAAGCACATTATAGCTTTTAAGAGCTAAGCTTTGGCTTTTCTGCTGGTCTGTGGGAGGGGTGACATGTTGCTCTGGTGCCTCGAGTACAAAAATGTTTAGCTTAGAAGTGTGCCTAAATAGGTTTAAGACATAAGCTTAAATAGTAGCTATTGAAAGTTCAGTTTAAGCCTAGCAAAAATAACACATACAAACCAGAGGCAAAAAGGAGATGATGCAGCCTTTTGTACTTATTTATGTGCATTGGTTTAAATTAAATTAGTGCAACATTTTTTTAATGGAAGCAATGGCTGAGTTAAATGCTGCTATCAGCTGGAAAAGGAAAATGTCAGTATCAGTACTTTACAAGTGGCATGGTTTACTTTATCAGTAATGGGAGGATTGGGGATCTCCCACAATTGTTCTCTGTAATAGAGGGTGAGGGTAAACCCAGACTGATTTTATCCAGATGGACTTGGAACATTGTACAGAGAGAGGCTACAATAAGCAGTTTAACAATCATTAATTGGAAGGTGTTTATAGGAAGTCTCTTCTCAAATTTAACTCTGAAGTAACCAGAAGCCTACAAGTTCTCATACATTGATTTACTACTAGAATTCCTATTACAGATCACTGTCTTGTAAAACCACTTCTCCTGGAAGAACAGTCAGTAGACTGTTTCTCATGAGAGTATGGTTAGTCGTCACCAGTTTGAAAAAACAAGTCCATGCCTGAGCGCTCTGATTGTTTTCTGGCATCCAAGCTTTCTCCTGTATGAGCTATTGCACATGGTAATGTTAGGATAAAATAGCATAACACAAGCCACAGGGTTCTGCACACCAAAGAAGCATGCATAATACTTAGTTGGCACACCTAACCTCATCAGCTTTTCATCTAGTTTCCAAAGGTTATTTAATTTCTAGTGTAATACTAGGCAGTTCCCGTTTAAGTAGAACACATACATTGAAGTCAGCCCGTAATTTCTAGTGCTGATAGTACCAGCAGGGTTGTTGAGCTGTATTAATGTAGACACTGAACACAAGCAGTGACACAGAACATGCACTATTCTTGTTGTCTTGCCCTGACATAGCAGAATTCACATTTTTTCAAGGAAGTATGCTGTAGTGTTCCAAACAGCCATATCACTGAACTTTGTCTCCTATTCTTAAAATAGAAACCATTAGAAACTAGTGTTGTAGTGCTTTTTTTCTTTAATTGATCAGTCTAATCTCTAGCCTGCAGCCATTGCTAAACTGCTAATAAAAAAGTGCAATATAAGTTAGCCAGCAATTTTTGTTAAATTCAAAGTAATTCAACAGTTCCTTTTGTCAAGGCACTTGGTACTGCATTTGGTGGGGAAAACTACATTTTTGGAAATATTTCCATAGCACATATTTTTGTATTTACCTTTGGCTTAGCATAATAAATGCCTTAGAAATGGTAGCTTTTCCATTTTAGAGCGAAAACATAAGTGGACCATATACTTGTATTATAAAATAACTGGAAAAGATAGTTTGTGTGCACATAAGGTGTGTATTTGCTTAACCTTATCTAGTTTTCCAATGCAAGATTTGGGGGTTTTGTAGCTAGTTTATGTTCCCATAAAGCATATCCCAGGATTTCCTTAGCATGTGCAAAGGATGACAAATATCAGTACTTCATACAACTATATTTAATAAGTTATTACAGAAAAAAAAATAAAGTCCAAACTACAAAGTTTAAGCAGTTGTAAGCAATAGCAGCATTGAGCTCCATGTTTAGTCACAGTACTGCAGTTCCATACAAGCATTAGTCCAAGCCAAAAAGGAAGAAGCCTTGTTAGAATTACTAGCAAAAACAATCTAAGAGAACATGTAATAAAAGATACAGTACATTTAAAATTAGTTGAAAAACAAGTACAGAGATCTTAGCTGTGAATGCTCTAAAAGTTATGACCATTATTTTGACAGTAAAATTACAAATATCTAATACTTTATACCCCAACAGAACTACATCCAGGGGGGGGAAAAAAAAGAGCCAAAATTATCTCTTATTAGCACCCTGGTTTTCTACTTACTGCTAAACTTTCTCTCATGTAAATTTGAGTGTGTCAGAATTATGTAACCAATGTGATTTCTGACCAGCTACCCATTTGGGGTATAGAGTAGTCACTAACATGAATATAAAATACTCTGTGGTATGATAGAACACTATAGCAGCAAAGATTAAGAAGTTTGTCTGGTTTAAAAAAAAGGAAGGAAGGAAAAGAAAAAAAGGGTTTAGCTGACATCATACAAACTAGCATAAAAGCAACTACATACAAGCCAGATTAAACAAAAGAGACATTTCTACAAATCTGTGACTAATCTTTCACTCATACCTTGCAAGTAGAGATGTCACAATACTGAAATATTAACATGGGAGCTTTTCCCAGTTAAGCGCTTTTTTTTTTCTTTTTTTACTACTCTAACAGATAGTGAAATCAGCAAAGTTATTTGCTAACTGCATATTTGCAATACAATTTGTTTTAGCCCATGCCTTGCTAGCAGGCTATAAAATACAAGCATGTAGGCAGAAATATAAGCATAAACTTTGTACCACTTAGCAGGAATTTTTGTATTCCCTCTTCATTCCTTAATCTCCTTTGTTTGCAATTTGCGTACATTCCAACCAGTAGTACCTAATTTGAGTCTAAATTTTACTTCACTATTTGATCTAGTCTATACATTACTTACAGAACTGAACACACAGAGGATACACAATAGACGAACTCTGGACACATTTCTTTCTGCAAGTTACAGATGAGCCACTCTAACACTCTAGCACAAGTTAGTCTAAAAGGTCATCAATAACTTGTTGAAGTAATTGTTTTGTCTAGAGAAAGTCATTGTATGCCCTGTTTACGCAACACCAGTTTTAGTCTGGATTGGTTTAGGTGCCAGAACAGAGAGTCACTGGCTTCAGGAAGGGGTTTCTTCTGGCTGCATAGGGAAACAAAGGTGATGTAAATGGAGGTGAAGTGAAAGGTGTTTTGATACTGGCACTTGGCATTGCCAATGCAAAAAGGAAAAAAAGTACAAAGAGACAAGAGAGGCAGAGAACAGAGAAAGACAAAGAAGCTGAACAGATGTTCAGACAGGGTGGCAATATGGGTTACTGCACTGCTACCAGGAAATGGACGTACGTTATTTTGCATTAACTAGGCAGCTACCAGCGCTGTGTGGTAACTTGGTTAGAAAGCGATGTGGGTACCTACAGTCTGCTCCATGCTGCCACTGAGAAACATATGCAGGAAGTAAGTTGTGCAGGAAAGGGTCAATTTAATTAAATAAATAACACTGTGGCAAAATACAATGAATATCTATTTTAGGAGGTTCAATCTAAGAGAGTTTATTGAGTTCATGACAAGAAAAGTAATGGAGCATTATGCTGAATGGGCAGGGCCAAAACCCCCTTGTTTCAATAGATTTAGTTCCTTAGAACGGCAATAATATTTCATCAACACTGGTGGTGTATAAATCTAGACAGCGAACTGGTACTGTGACATCCCTATTATCTCCCTAAATCATTTTGATAAAGGAAAAGGCTTTTCAAAATATCACATTTTTTCTGCTTCATTCTGTCTTTTTATTGCCCAATTCTTTGTTACAATTTTCCAATCACTTTACATAACCAACCATTTTCATCATTGCCACACTATTGTAAACCACATCAGCAAGTTAATACATAAAGCTTTGCATTTCAAAAAACTAGACACTTTAGTAACAATATTACAAAGATTTTAGCTTCAAAAATAACTGAAAATGAAAAAAATAAACTTTTAAAGAATTAGCATCATAAAATTAATTTATTCCAAGTAAAAATACAAAATAATATTAATGACATTGACCAGATATGAAAGTCTCTCCCAGAAACAACTATATTAATGGTTGAGAAAGCACTCCTTAAAGAAAATACGAAATAAAAATGAAAAATATGTAAATATGTTTAATTTTTTTCTTAGCAAAAAATCTTTCTAAAAATAACAATGAAAATTTGTCTCAGTACAAAGGCTACATTACTATTGAAAAAATACCAGCATGAAGAAAAGGTACATATTTGACAGTAGAAAAATGATTTTAGTGAATCACAATGTCTAAAGTCTGCAATGAAAATAAATCTGCAATAAAGATTTATGCCTTTTTTCTTTTCATTTTTCTTTTTTTTTTATACAAACAGTACAAACAGTATTGCACATAACAACAAATAGTCGAGGTTAGGTTAGCCTTCAAAAAAATCGACTAGTTCAAGTCTCACATCAGAAAAGGCCACGACAGGACCTGTTGTACCCAGGGGCTTCTTAGTCAAGTTGCAGTTCAGAACTCCATATTTTAAAAAATAACTTTTTTTGAAGGACCCTCTTTTTTAATATAACATATTAACAACTCAGGGGCACATTCATTTACAAAACAAAAGGGATCATGTCATAATTTAATAAACTAAAAAAAGTTCTCTTTAAAAAAATACAAACAGAAGAACTCTCACAATTCTGGTCAGTCGTGCATAATCACACTTGATTATAAATATACAAATTAAGGGAAAATATTTTTTCACCTTCTATTCACAACTTTCAGCACCAAATGGAGTTTGTGTTTATACCTGTTCTTTATGATGATTTTGTTTTAGATTTAATCCAACATTATGCTATATTGTACATTTTCCGGCTTTTCTCTCTCTCTCTCTCTCTCTCTTTCTCTCTGGGGGTATTTTTCTACATGAAAGAGGGGTATTTCTTCAAAAAGGTTTACTTCTTTCACATAATTAGGTAGATTTCTGTAGGTTAGCTATGATCTTTAATATTACAGTTATAAAGCTCTAACTTCTTCATTTTCAAAAAAACTCAAATAAGCATGAAAAAAATAAAGTTACCCATCTGTTAAATCATTTTTCTTGCAGAATTAAATTAATATATATTTTTCTGAATAAACTTACTTAGAAAATATCATTTTCTTTCCTATATTTCAAAATTGAGGTATTGCAAAAGATCATGTCAGTCAGAAAGCATGCCTTTTTCTTTAAAAAAAATCATCAGCCAACTGTTGAAAACTGTCTAGATACAAAAAGTAGTGCATAACAAAATGTCTTGTACAGATGAAAAAAACAGAAAAAAGACACCTGGGCTGGGAAAAGCAATATCACAAAAACGCCCAGAAGTAACTTCAAAAGGGATAATTATAATAAGCATTTTAAACCAGTAAAAAACTATTTTTTTTTTCCAAAAACAGAAAAAATCCTTTCAAAGCCAATACTCGCAACTAAACATTGGGAAAAAACAACTTACTAAATTAGACACAAACAAAGACATCACAACAAACAAAACCAGAACATTTAAATCTATGCGGTGTCATATCCAGTCAGATTGTCCCCAGAACTGCAAAAACAAAGGAGGAAAAAAAAAATAGTGTACACATTCGCACAATCATTAGTATACCAAGTGTGTTTATATTTATATGCTATCTGCAGCCCCATAGTTCATGCTAAAAAAATGTCCACTGTGTTAGCAGGTCTTAATTGTATTCAAGCTTCACAGGATACATCCAGGGATTAGAGAGATAACGCCACATCCACAGAGCAGACATCTCATCTTGCTTTTATATGCAGACATTTCTTTAGCACCACTTTTTTTTCCTGACTTTCTTAAATGTGCCTAGTTTATTAGTTTGACAGACTATCTAATTGGTAGTGTATGTACGCTAGCATGAGCTCTTTGGTTTTCTGGACAAGGTCTGCAGCTACATAAATGATGCAAGCATTAGGGGAGAGATTGTAACTAAGAGCTCATTTCTTTCTATGTACCTGTTATGAACTGTCAAAAATGTGTTAATGTTGGATACAGAGGCTTTAACAGTTACGTTTGATCACAGTACTAGACATAATCACTTTACTATATAAAATAAATTGCACGATATATAACAGAGCACCGCAAAGTACTTCATCTACCATCCACAAATTTGTTTTAAGAATATCCTACAGCTAGTTTTTATATTTGTTGTAATATAGGTCATCTGTAATGGGCTGATCCTAATTTCAGAAGCATTACATTTACTGAGGCATGCCTTCCTCCAGTCAGTAATCATTTTTTTTTTGTTACTGAGTACTTTGTAGCCTACGTAGATTCATAATTTGTGCATTGTGGGCAGTTTTATATTAGACGTATATAAAATTTATTGCATGCAGCAACCTGATTAAGTAAACATGCAGTCAAAAAGTATTGACCTTCCTTGGAAGCTTTTCTGTATGCTATACTGATCTCCTTTCAGCAGCCATCACTATTTTAATCACATATTCATTTTTTAATTGATACCCTAGCCTGAATAGAGTATTATGGTATTAGTAATACCATTTTAATAGCAGCAAAAGCTATTGCAGCATACATTTACATAACACTAAAAGACCTAACGAAAACCAAAACAAAACAAAAACAAAACAAACAAAAAAAAACCCTCTGCAAAACAAAAGAAAAAAGTCTGATCCAGCTTATGAGGTATAATCCTTACAAGTCAAAATGGAGAGCAACTAAAGGCTTATTTTCTTTAAGGGTTATTACTACTCTGAATGACCCAAACTAATGATTGCTGAATATCTGTTTAAGTTTTTGCTACATCTGCCACCTACTTGTGAATATTACCTTTGGTAAGTCATCTGCTAGGGGCAAGTCTAAATTTCTGAAAATAAGTGCATGCTCCAGTTTAAAAATAAAAATAATTCTAATTATAATAAAAAAATCTTCATCACATACACATCAACCCAGTGAAGGCTGATGAGAATGGCAGTCTACATAATGTCACTAGTGACAAGTCTTGTGTAGGAAATTAAGGTACCAAGCAGATGTTTGTGTGAATCAAAGTGCAAAATCAGTACAGTTACACTCTGCCGGTTTGTATTATACTGGACACTGAGTTCAGTAATGTGACTGTAAATAATAATAATAGTAATAAAAAGACCCATATCTTCATTAAAGTCGAGGACGAATGCACAGATTTCCAGAACACTAAGCCCTGAGGCAGCGCTCTCTTTTCACTCGATTTTACTACTCCAGTACTTGTTCTGGGGTGAGGCCTGGGATTCAGCTCCAGCGGAACGGGACGTGGCGGGGCCGGTCACCTCCCTCCTTTACCAGTGGTTTGTGGAACTCTCGCCCAGCACGAGAGTGTATGCTTGCCCAGCAGTATTCACAGTAATACTGCAAACAGGTAACATTGGCACAAAAAAACGGAGCAAATTTTCCACCACAGCGAGTGCCCTGGCATTCATCACACATCTGGTCATCCAGCACATATGGCTTCACTTCCACCTGCACCAGGAAGAAGAAAAATAACTGTAAGAAGATGACATGGTTTTCCTGAGTGTGAACAGAAGGAACAATATTTTAATTATTTTGACTCTACTGAAGGTTTTCAACTGACACTGGATTAACCCAAAGAGGTTGGTAGTCAAATTTTCATACCAACCACTTTACTTGTCAGAAAACCTCACAAAAGAAGGAGGTGTTTTGGTAACTATTTAACATTTCTTGAAAAAGTTAGGTATGTGAAAGTACTAAGATGTGAGTACAGTAAAAATAGCATCTCCAAGGATTTTGCTGCTGTCTAAGAAACCTCCAGGAGTGTGGATACAGTTGTTATGGGGACAGGGTACAAGAGAACAGTATTTAGGAAGAAAAATTATAAAGAATAAACTTAAATTTCTAAACTTCAGAGGTCTGGCACGTTTCAGAGGTTTTTCTTCAGAGAGGTTTTTTTGTTTGTTTGTTTCTCTTGTTTGTTTTTTGTGAACTGCAAAATGCAGGACCAGACTAATAAATGAAGATTCAAATTAAACAAGATCAAATGCACCTGTATTAAATACTCTGCCTTATGTTGGCAAAAATCACTATCTAAAGATTTTTAGATCCAGAAATGTAGCAGTATTTCATAGTTGTTCCAACTGTTGCCTTGCCATCAATTACAGCTAGGCTGGAGAGCTGCTGACTTTTCTCCTACACTCAGTTGTAAACATCTTAGAACTGGCATTCTTTTTGTTTTTAAAGCACTTGTGCCAAACACAGCAGTGTTTTGATGCATAACTAGGCACTTGCAATAATACTATTACAGAAGTTGACAACATGCAAGTTGTCTCCTCTGTGTCTGTTCCTAAGAATCAAGCCTACACATTGAAATTGGGTGTTTACTCCTCCTGGGGAAATCATTAGTTTATGCACGTGTAATTCTTATGGCTCTATGATGCTATTTATAAAGTGGTTTAAGTACAGTCAACTACATTAAAAAAAAGAGAGAAAAAAATTGAAATATACATACTTATATGATAAATAATTTTGCTATAACTCCACAAGTACTAGTCTGGTAAAATTGGTATATTGCAAGGAAACTTGACTCCAGTAACTACACTTAAATACATATGGTATTAAAGAAACACAGAATAAGATTCTAAGTTGAAAACCAAGAAACATATTAAACAAAAAAGCTTTATGCTGAATTTTACTTCAGCTTATCTCGATCACATTTCAACAAATGTTACTGATTTGAAGTAAAGCTTATATAGTGAATTCTATTTCTTCCTATGGAACAGCTAGAACTACCAATTTTATTTATTTATTTATATTACACTGTACTACTAGTACTGCATGGAAGAAGTCTGAATAACTGCCATTTTGCATATCAGATGCCCTACCACTAAAATTAGAAGCATCATGTAAAATAAAACAGCACTGTCTCAAATGAAGTTGGAGAAAAGCAAGTTCAGTGTCCAGCACATCTCTAGATCCCCACCTGCTCACATTTCCAAAGCATGAAATGTGAACGTCTGAAACAGATACTCTCTCGCACTCCTTTTCTTGTTTTGGTTACTAGTGAAACCATTTCAAGATTGTATGCTGTACAATTCAGGGATTACAATCTATTAGATTTAAAAACTAATATTTAAGGAAGGATTAAGAGATTTCATGCTACTTCAAATTTACAGATAAACCTATTTTAAACACAGATAAAAGATAATCAAGTGAACTTAAATTATCAATCAACGAACTGGGAAAAGTACTGATTGATGGAAAAAACCTACCAGCTTGCATCATTTGTGGCTCTACCCTAAAGCTTAGAAAAAACCCCAAGTTTTTAAGCATGGCTGATATATAAATCTCAAAGGGTTCAACACTGTGATTAAAACTCCAAAATTAATCTTCTTAATATCTCTGCAAAATTTTTTCAGAATTCAATGGACAAGAAATATTTAGAAACACCCTCATCTTTGTTAAAATCATGAGGTATAGTAGCACCATAGAAAAATAGTTGGAGGATTTATATCTCCTCACCTAATCTGACAAAAATTTCAGTTCAGATTTTTAAAGAGAAAGTAAAAATAGCTTGGACTTTGCAGCTGTGTGGTTTTAGATGTATACTGCACATAATAGACACACTCAATACCTGTCAAGCTGACTTCTTAAGAAACAATTTATATTAGATTAAGTAGAAAACAAGCCATCCTCATTGTAAAAGTACGTATCAGCAGTGCATGCTGTATGTTCTTTTGAATAATTCTAAATGCCAAGTCCTCAAAAACATAGGTGGTGGTTGTACATGTAATCAAGAGGGGAAGACAGAAGGTCCAAAGGAAAAAAAAAGATCTTGGAAATTAAGTAATGTTTTCTTTTAATGTCTTCAACTCAGATTTCATTAAATACCTTAACTTCACCCTATACTTGAAAAGCCCTTTAGAAACCAGGATTTCATAAGGAACTGAACAAAACCATCTCATTTTACCTCCTTTTGCCTATCAAACATCTGTTGGCATTTGGTTAAATTTTGGTTAAATAATTCTCAAGACTTTTGAGGTCAGCATTGCCTACTATACTTACGATAAACCTGTGTTTTATGAACCTCAAGTCTAGACATACATTGCCAAGAGAAAATGTTGCCTAGTAATAGCAGAAGTGCCAGAGGCTATATAAGTAGCCACTACCTAAAAGCAGTTGATGAACAATGAGCAAACATCTACAGGAGGAGAAAGATGTTGGGCAATTCTACGACCTTCAGAATTCAAAATAAACCCAAGAACAAACAAGCTTACAACCGACTATTTTCTGGTTTTAGTGCTAAGGAGTTATTTAAGATGTTTAAGATATATTTTTTTCACTCTGCTTTAGCTTCTTAAATAAGCTTTTAAATAATTAACAAATGTCATCTGAAGAACAGAGGTTACAGTGTTCTCCAACACAATATAAGGATGCTTTTTATTTCTGTACAGTTTTGTGGGTAATAACCATTCCATTCCATGCTATTTTACTTACCCGTTTATCAATGTCATTATGTTGGAGCTGGACAAAGCGAGCACTGATAGCAGCAATATAGCTCTGCTGATTGGAGAAAGCCACTCTGCCAGCACCTTTTGGATACTTCAACTCTGGGTCTGTATCAATGCCAGCATAGCAGACACCTCCATATAAACGGTCCATAATCATTGCCAATTCAACTGCAAGAAGTCAATTGTTAAATATTATAGATTTAACATAAATCATAGTGTTGCATTTGGTTTGTTGCATTAAAACGCTATTTGCCTTAGCGTACTTGTCTTCCAAAGTCTAAAATGGTAAACCCAAACGTTGGTTTTAACAGATTAAATCAACCCTACATGAATTATAGTAAAATATAAAGGCAAAAAAGAGAATCTGTAAAAAAGAAACTCAGTGTGACTGAAGTGTGAAAAAAATGCAGAGTTACATTGTTAAAGTAGGTATCAAGTCAACTGTTGTAGAATTTATCATCTTGTAAATTAAAACTGTGGTATTTGGGATTAGGTATTCGGGATCTCCTCCAGCTCCAGCCAGGCTTGTTAATGCTAGTTTACATGTAATATCATTTAAAAATATTCCCGTATTTAGAATCTGATATTTTACCCTAAATACTAAGGTTGTAAAACACTTCCTTAATGTCTTTTCATTTGAAACAAAATTTTGTGAAACATTGGAAGTTATCACACTTCAAGCAAGCCTACATTTTGGATGCAATCTAATTTAGTATTTTTGTAGAACATTAACTTGACTGTGGATCTTTTAAAATGGCTTGTTGCTTTTTTCTCACACTAAGGATAACCCTAAAGTAGTAATAAAATAAACCAAGCTGAGTGCATGGCTGAGAAAACATACAGGTGGACAGTTAAGGGAAAGAACTGACGGAAGTGGAAAAGAGGCTGAAGGAAGCGGAGAAGACGCATGTACACTGAGCAAAGATATATGGTCACTGAGCCAAGTTCTCACTAAAACTGATAGACAAATTTATCAGATGGATGAAGGACTGATCCTCACAAAGCAGGATACTGGGACTTGTAGAGGCCCTGCCAAGTCAGTTTTTATGCTAATGTGTGAAAATACTTTCAGTATCAAGTTAAAATCTAGCTATCCAAGATGAAATGAAAAAGATATTTAAATCCTTGTAGTTCTCACAAAATTCTCACTAGTTAATTATATATAGACTAGAGACAATTTTTGAATTGAGTATGTATATGTGTTTGCAGAAACACGTGTGTCACATTAAGGGAACACCATAAGCTAATTTGTCCATTTGCAATAAGCAAACAAATGTCTGACTCACTCTACCAAAGCAGATAATACTCTTGCTCCAAACAGGAGAAAACTGTCAGCATAATGTAGTGACTAGTAGATTCTTCTGCTTTCTAATAATTTGGAATCAGCATTTGAGTAATGATCTCAGAAAGTGACAGTATGGAATAAATATCAGGGACACTTAAAAACATTTACAATAGTAGTTCCAGTAATTTACTGTTGCCAATAGACAAAGAATATATAGGATTCCAGGGCAAGGAAACCATGCAGGGTTCAGACATCTGAGGAAAAACTTCTGTATCAGATATTTAAAGTTGCAAACAAGAAAAACTAGAAACTATTTGTCTGCTTTGGAGGAGTTAACTATGTAAAGGCATTGGTTTTCAAACGTAATGCATTTCAAATGTAATCTATGACAGGCCAAATTACATACAGTTTCATAAAGGCTGTAATTAGAAATTAGGTAATGTTCAATTGTTACTATTTACATAACCATCTTACAGTTACGCCTTATTTTAAGATGGTGATGAATGTGAAAGCTGCCAAGAAACCTGGGCTGGGAGAAATCTTACTGTCAGCAATGAATGGCTGGGGGACCTTGTGTACAGCTTCCCAAAAGAATTAGGATTAGGAGAAAGAAAACGAGAAGGTGCAGTTCTAGTGGACTGGAAAGGGGCTGCCAAAGGAAAGTGAGGGCTACTAGGAAACCTGATCCAGAAGTCTGTCTTCCAGACAATGACTGAGGGGCCTTGTCTGCTACGGGCCTGGAAAATTAGGATTAGGGTTGAGAGGATGAAAAAAAGAAACCACGCAGCTGACCTGGAGTAAGGATGGAGAGGGACTACTACATGGTAGTGAGGGCTGCCAAAAGACCTAGCTAGGGGAAATGTTTCAACTTGCTAATGGCTTCGTGACCTTGCCATTGGCTCACCAAAAATATAAGGCTTAGGAAGAAAAAGAGCGTCAAGCTACAGTTGGGAGTGGTGATGAAAAGAGACCTTCAAAACAAAGTGGGGGCTGCCAGGAGATCTGGGCTGGGATAAATCTTTCCTCTGGCCAAAGGTAAAGGAGTCTCGTCTATTGCTCTGCAAATAAAAGTGAAGAAAAAAGAGTAAGGATGAAGAAAATGATTGAGTAAAAGAGCTACATTAGGAGTGGGTCTGGAGAGTGGTCTTCAGTACAGAGTGGGGCTACCAAGAGACCTAGGCTGGGAGAAATCTTCCTTCTGGACAACAGCTGAGAGGCCTTGTCTATAGCTCCACAGGAAAACTAGGGTTAGGGTAGAGGGGTGGAATTCAATCCCTGCGGCATGCGGGAAAGAGAAATCAAAGCTGCAGTTGGAATTGGTTTGTAACAGGGCTGGGAGAAGTTTGTGTTCTAGTCAAAAGGAAGGGAAACTTGTCTGCATCTCAGCAAGCAAATCAGGGTTAGGATTAAGATGGCATATGTTATGAAAGATCAGCCAAGCTCTAGGATATTATGCAAACTTGGGGAAAACTTTCTACTGAAAATCCCAATTAGTAATCTATTGAAAAGATCAAAAATGTTCACAGTTTGTATTTTGTAGACAGGAAGACACTCAATGACTAAGAAAGTGAGCTACAATCTTTGGAAAAGACAGAGTATATATATTTTTGCTCTATTTCTTTTATGTATACTATAGATATTTTCTCATCTTTTCTGCTTAATCTGGAACTACATGCCCTACATTTTCCTTCTACTCACCAGCTCGGAGCGGCCGTGGAACTCCTCCAACAAAGATAGTTTTTCTTGGATCCAAAGGCTGAGACCCATCCATCACAAAGTCACTGTCACTTAGGTTCCAAGGTCGAATTTGCACCTGTATTAAGGATTGTTTTTAGTAGAAGAACTTGAAAACTCGATTAAAATTCAGAAACAACTGTCAAATCTTTTTATAATTAAAAATACAATTTTAACTTCACAAAAGCAGTAAATTAGTAGTATAAGCACCAAAACAATTTGAGGACATAGCTTATCTAAGTGTTTGAAAGAAGGTGGACAATTCATTTATCACCTCTAGAGGCCAGGCTTGAGTTAAATTTCTTCATAGCAAAACTGCTACCTCATTAATTCTCTGCCCCTAATCGCCATTATAAGAATTCTGTGAAAGGACTTTCAGTATATTTTACCATGTATGTGCAATTACAGTTGCAGTTTGGGCTTCTGGCTTTCCTGAAATCACATACAGTGATCCACAAATTTTAAAGCACTGATAGGCATGGAGATAAAATTAATTTCTGTGCTTGGATATAAAAGGAGTTTTTATAATGTGTGAACGTTCATTTCTGTTAACCAGCAAGCAACACAGTTGATAAGAAATCTTTACACAGAAAAAATCCTGCTCAGAAGTTATTTGGATAAAGCTTTTGCATTTATACATACATTTATTGATCCTAGAAATCACGTAAGCACACTCACTGTGCTGTAGTACTGGGCTGTTCATTTATCTGTGCATGCTTTTTTTTTTAATCTAATCATATTTATCTGTAGTTTTCATCTAATCTGCATGTATCCATAACCACAAAAAAGACTAGCATTAAAGAATGTTAGAGATGTGAACAATAGAAACAGGTGACTGTATGTCTTCTATTCTGCTGTAGCTGTCTGCATTACTTGTTTTTACCCTGCAGTTTATATAAGGTAAATGCGACCTACTTATAAATTGATTAGCTATTGCATACAGAAAAAATAATAATTAAGAAACCTAATGAAGTACAGGGGATAGTTGAAGCTATCTGGATTTTAATTTGAGGGGGGGGTTAAGTTTCTTCATTGCATAAGGCCTTCTTTTCTTTCAAATAACATCGAGGGAAAAACTATAATCTGATTGTCTTACAGCTAACATTGTAAAAGGATGCATACTCCTGTGAGATGCCAGAAGTACCAAATATAAAAGTTAATTGAACATGGCATTTATCAGAAAGAAGCAAATGTTAAAACCATGTTACGCTGATACAGAAAGTCAATTCAAGGTAACAGCAAGGACAGCAACAGGAAGTGGACAAGTCAATTAACTGTAAGTCAGTCTTTATTTACTAACTGAAAAGAGTAACAGCAAATGGGTTAGCAACCAGCGCTAAGTGTCATGGCATAAGCTACTTACTGGTTTATCCTTGATTGTGGGACTTGACACACACAGGTAAAGTTTCCCATCTTCTTCCAGACAGGCATCTATCAGAGCTTGTACAGAGCTTTCTTCCTGGAACAGCAGAAAGGCATAACCTTGGAAAGGATAAAGGCACAAGAAAGAAAAAGATTAGTTTGTAAAGCATTTTTTAAACAAAGAAAATAAACCCAAGAAGTGAATAAGTTATACAAATTACAAATAACTGTTAAGGCTATTGGTTTGTTTTCATAAATTAAATTCACTGAATAGATCATACACTCATACAGTATTGATTTCAGAATGGAGACAAGAGTGTTTGCTGCATATGTTTATTTGATTAATTAATGATTTTGAGCAGTGAGTATATAGGCTGGTGAATAAGGGTTTCTTACTATCCAACAATGGTATCTGAGCTATTTATCAGTGGTATCTGCCAGTATCAGTGATTATCATCTTACAACAGAGGCACTGAACTTCTGGTTACTATCTACAATGAATAAATATTAGAAGAAAGGGGCAAAAAAATAGACAGGTAAACAGATAGACTTCTATGCTCACATACTTAACTGTAAAAAATGTTCACCTAAAAACAATAAGCATGAGCGAAAAGAAAGGCATTCATTCATTGTGTGTTATTACAAGTCAAAGGCCTGCTGTTGTTATTTATATTTAAATAAAGCAGTTCAAAAGAAAAAGTCCACTAAAAATTGCTCCAAGTGATTCAGAATTTTAGGACTTTAAATTAGTCAGTAAAACTAAGTGTGTGTGTGGCATTCAGTGCTCTTCTGAATGCAGCTGGCAAGAAACCTTTCTCCAGTTTTACTTAACATTGTTAAATTTGAATGAAGATTTGACCCAAGCAGTCCATGCTTTTGCTAGCTCAGAAGCGAAACTAATACAGCGCAGTCCACACTAAGCAAAGCCATCGAAAGGCTGGCTGCTAGACTTGAATACAGCTGCCTGGTTAAGAGGACTTTCTATCAAGCACGCATTGCTCTTTTGCTCCGTAATCAGTACAACTCAGTTTTCTCACTGAATGTGAGTGCATTGGCTTTGACCTTTATAATTTGGTACTTGTGTGTCTTCCAGGCTACCTCCTTTCAGAAAATCTGTAGCAATTAGAGGCAGCTGGAGCTTAAGCAGGGATGCCTAGGCTTTCTCTGCCTGGGACTCTTGGCACAAACTAAGCGCCTACATGATGATACACCATATTTAAAGTATGACAACTTTTGATATAGCTTTACACAGTCTATTTGCTATTAATATGGTAGCAAGTTACCCTAATTTTGCACTGAGCATTGCGTGAATGCTATTTGGCATGTCCTTTTTTAGATAAATACTAATACAACTCTGATTTATAAAAAAATGTAAGATAGACACTGAAAAAGTGTTTTCCTCTGTAGCGTTATTAGCTACCGAATTACCTCTTAACCTACTATCTCTAGTCATGTGAGCTCTCAAAGAACATGAAGTTCTATGCAGCTGTTTGTTTTTAGAAGCCAAAAAAAGTTTGCATTAACAACATACTTATAGACCAGAACACATCTAGACAGACTGACTTCCCCAAGAAAACAAAACAGTTTGATCATCACTCTTGCTAGCCAACAAGGAACTTACGTACCTAGAGTTGGACTAAATTAAAGATACCAGTCCCAATAAAAAGTGAAATATTTCTTGAATAAAAACATCATTTTCCTCTCTAGCAGATGTAATTCTCTTAAAACAGTCCTCTAAAGATATAAACACACTTCAATATTTTAGTTTTAGACTTTAAAAACCTAATTGCGTTAACTGAGTACAAAAATAATTAGCTTGCAATCACTATCAATTTTTAGCTTAATTTTATTTTCCATCCATGCACTTGTTATATCCTCCTCATTTTGTACCTTCCCTTCTGATTATATATAATAATCAGAGCAAAAACTTATACAAATTAAAGTATCTTTAGTTTAGCAGTTTTTTCAGCCTTATAAAATGCCCCAATCAGAAACCTAGATACTTGGAAGAGACTGCCATGACAACTACACCTCCAAAGCCAACTGAGCACACTTTATGGTTCAGCCCAATCCTTGCCTTATATTTTTTGTAAGATGAATTCCCAGAAGATGCAGTGCAGATCATTCCAATACTATGAAATCAAAATAAGAATACATGTACATTTATGCATGTTTTAAAAGAATGGCTTACAATATATTTAAATATATTTAAACATTTAGGATTTATCTTCTGACCAGACCATAAGATTTGAACTTTAAAAAATACAATTTTGTCTTTTTAGAGTTTTATAATCTTAAACCAGCAAAACATTGACAATTTCTTTAGCCCAAAGTAAAAATGAAAATTCGGAAATGTTTATTGTGGCTTAATTACTCAGCAAAAATCTGGGTAATAGCTTCGGATACTTCTTTCTTCTATGAAGCTTTTTCAGGTGTTTCTGGGTCATGTTAAAAGGTTACATCATCTGTGGCAGTTGGAGTTGACAGCCATTTGAGGGTACAGTAAACAATATGATCATAATTTCCCAAACAAGTTAAAATTAACCAAACTGATACTTGTTAATTTTCTCTGGCTGCTAGATTACAACAGCAGTCCAAGTTAGTAAGAATTCAGTTTTCTAACCTGGGGCTAATGCCTGCCATGAAGTTTAGTAAATTTACATGTCCTCATTTCTCTAGACCTCTGTGACTAACACATTTCCCTGCCTGCTACGGAGTTTGCATGGGCCCTCTGAAGACAGGCAGGTAAGCAGTTTACAGCAGCAGCCTTCTGTCAATCTAGCAAGCAGGCTGGACTAGCAGGACATGATGTCCAGGACTGCTTCAAAACCTGGTGATTGCACATCTATTCCAATTATTCAAGGACTTTTGATACTCAAGATTAACAAAGATTACACTGAAATGAAAAATAATTAAGTAACAGTAGTTCAAATAATATAAGGATTATGTAGAAGCTGATACAGACAAGAAATATAGCTGTGAAAGTTAAAGGTATTTGCACTCATTTTCTGGAAGGGTATTGGGATGCAGAAACCTTAAATTCAGAAAGGTGCAGCTCCTTTCTGTGAACAGTGGGAAGTGCTAGGCATTGCTATTACTGAAGACTTCCCTTCTTGCTCACAGTACCATTGTTTAGAGCTGCATTTCCTTGTTCATACAAGAAATATTGTTCTCCCACGGATGTACTGCATTTGATTAGAACTCAATAGCAGGAGACACACTCAACTCAAATTCCAGTATAAAAAATGAAATTGGAAAATAAACATGCCAAAACTGACATTGCATAAAGAATTGCCTCACACTAGATGCCATTTAATAATAAATTTTTTGCATAGGAACAAAACACCATTTTTAATAACTTCAGTCACAATTTAAAGGAAAAACAGCATACCAATCTGTAAATTAACAGTAATTAATTTTCTTTGTCTGTCAGCTGTGTTTAAATGCTAAGTTTGGCTATAATTTTATAAAACCTTGAAGAGATTCTCAAAAACATCTACTTCAGGCATTATATCCTGTTCTACTGCTTATTTCTGTTCCTACTAGACACCATGAGAGATGAGCCTAATCCCCAAAAAGCTTTACTGCATGGCCAGTTAACTTCTAACATTCATAATGGTCAATTATAGGGGCTTCTAGGTTTAAAAAGAAACTTACTTCATGTTTAAAGACAGCAGGTGAGTAGAACTAATAAGATGATCAGTTTCCAAAAAAAAAAAAAGTATTAATCCAAATAACTTGAATTACTTAGCAGATGCTGAAAGTTGCTTCAAATGCCTCAGCATCGTGTGCTTCAGCACATTCTCCTCTCTGTGCATCATGAATATCATGACTTAAAGCATATGGCATTTTTCCAAGAAGTAAGAAATTCAATGAACTTCAAAATTTTAATCCTCTACAGCAGAATCTTGGTAGCATGCTGTGGTAGCATGCTGCAGACAGACTTCAGCAGTGGTAATTTCTTACCTGACCAAATGTTCTAAAGGTTTGAGGGCTCAAGGGACGGCTCCTGACTTGGATTCCACAAAGTAAACCAGGTGAGATATTTGAAGACCCATAAAATAGCAAGGTACGTGACAATAGCTGAACATTCTATATACACAGATATAGGGCTTCTTGGCAGAGCAGAAACAATCTACCTCCTTCTCAGCTGTTGGTACAACACATCACTGTAGTGCTGACAATACACATTGCACTTGGCAATGGGGAAAAAGGCAACAATCCATCTTGCTGTAAGAAAAATCACTACAACTTTTAAAGGGGTACAGCAGAGGGAAGATGAGGAGATTAATTTCCCTAGATTCTGAAGCACAGCCTAGGAGCTCCTCAACCTTAAGCTCAAGGATTCATTAGTTTATGGAAAGCAGCACAAGAACTAAGCTCATTTGTGTATGTCCTGTTCTGACATCTAAACAGTGACACAATTTCCATATGAACAGATAATTTAGTCCAGTTCATCTAATTTCACTTAACCTTGCTGAGAACAAACTGGAAAATCTGGCATATATGCTGCGTCCTACAAGCTTGAAACAAAGTTGTCACTTGAAATGCAAGATACACTTTGAACTACCATATAATGTTGCTATAGTCTGGAAAATGCATTTCTGCCAGCCTAGACAGTCTGGAAAAATCTCTATTTCAATTAATACCAACATAGGCATACCTTCTGTAACGATGGGAACCTTTCTGTATTACTGACAGCATATTTAGTAATAAGGCTTCAAAACAACACGCTAGATGGAAAGCTTATCAAGGTGCTTATTCTGCCTTTCTTATAATAGAAGAATCTTAATATTCATACTTTAATGTTAAAAACTGGCATGTTGGTACAAATTACAGGAAATCATATTGGAGTTTTAGCTCAAAGTGCATCGTGCATGTGTTCTGCCCATCCTTCCTCAATGTAATTAAAGTGAAAAGAACTACTCATGATCCTTTATTAAGGCAGAATGTGTATTAAGTGTATCAGGCAAAGGAGAAAATAAACGTAGGGGCCTTGTAGACACCATTCAACTTCAGAAGCCATAGCTGGTAGAGTTTATCAGAAAAGACTATCTTCTTGTCTAGATCAAAATATTTCTCACAGTTGAAGATGATCCAATTGTATTATTATTATGATGATCCAATTTCATGCCTTTCTTCAAAATTTCAGTTAATTGTGAATTAGTTCCATCTCTTTATATTAACTGAAGTTTAGCACTTTATGCTCAACTTGTGAATGCTAAAAGTAGTTCTTAAGTTCTTGCATTTGAGAACAGCAGTTTATATATTGCTGTTCAAATACATCAACTATGAGCTGTGTCTGCTGGTGCAAAGCCAGCATTTTGGCATTCAAATGTTACATAACCAATAGAGAAAGATTAATCTATTTCTGGGTCTTAGAATTGGGGATACTTTTCAAATAAAGAAAACAATTGTAATGAAGAATTATATTGATTTCCTACGTAATTGACTTCCAATCCATAATTCCCAAAATTCAGCCCACTTACAAAATCAGATAGAGAATGGATATTCTAAGGGTCACTTGTTTTCCGTTTTATAACACTGATGTTGGGTGGCAGAATGAAGACAATGAAGAGAAGGACTTCCTCTTCTCTTTACATACCTCATAGTAAGTCAGAACAGTCTTTAGGTAGTCACGTGTATTCATTTCACATGCAAAATGGAAAGACTTCTTACACTTGGAAAAAGTTAAATTACCTTTGAAGCACATTTTCTTTCATTCTATCTTTTTAAAGTTTTCTGTTTAAAAGACAGCGTCTTTTCTGATGTCTTATGGGCTCCAGGATTACTGTAAAACCTACCATCCACCTAGCATCTCTTATAAAAGTATTTCAATATATATATCTACCTCATATTATTATGTCAAAAATAAGATGGAGTTAAACTGGCAAAGAAAATTAATGTTCTAGTCTCATGTCTTTGGGTTTATTTTTAGATGGTTGAGATGGCTACCTCAAAAAAGTAGATTTAAATAGATTTTTTTCATGAAATAAATAGCACACTTTTTTTTTTTTCTGGATTTTTAAAAATAGTTTTGAATTGAATTAAGGTTGTATCTCCTAGAATTTTTAGAATAAAACTGTTTTCAAAGCCCACAGCAAAGTAACATTTAGAAACAGTGTGAACCAAATTTCTAAATCAGTTAATGTGATGACAAAGGGTCATTGCTCAAAGTCACCCTTAGTCATCTTATTAGAAGATGCTTTGAACATGAATAAAACACACTTCTAAATCCTAAGATGAAACAACTATTGAAAATGAAACTCATTTTTCAAAAATAAAAATCTGAGATGTTGAACAAAATGCAGACTTTCTTTCAAACACTGCAGTGACATCACTGGATTTTCAAAAAACATCAAAGGCTTTAAATACTTAAGAAACCTCAAAATAGAAAGGGCTATAATCTCACTTAGCTACTGCCGAAGAGTAAATTATGTATTAGTGAGGGCTGAAAAGATGAATTTCTTCTAGTCAGTCTAATTTTAAATGGCAGTGTATGATGCTGTCAACTGATTACTTTCTCTAAAAAACAAAAGGGGTGTAAGAAATGTGAACAGTTCAGCATCTTACAATGAGACCCCTATTCATTTTTACATGTTTTTCATGGGTACCAACCAGACTAAGTCTGAGTAATCTGATATGTAAGAAATGCCCCATATGCCAACTTAAAGACAGGTTTTGGGGTAGGTTTTGTTTGTTTTTAAAAGTATGTACTCCATATCCTGAGTTCCATTGAAAAATAACTGGATCCTGAATCTAAATAGCAATTAAATGTAGTGTACACAGTTAAATGGACAGGATGCCTTATCAAGAAAAGTCAGCAAGCAAGCAAATCATGTGGAAGAGTTGAATGAAAACTGACGTTCTGTATCAGTAGCTTCTGTAAAATAAATTGCATGTCTTCATAATTCCTATTTTACCATTAATTTGTCCACATCACTGAGATTACCAAAAAGAATGAAAACTAGCATTTAACCCTTACTACTAATGATCTTACCATATCACAAACAACAGAGAAATTAGAAACCTCCTATGTTGTCAGAAATATTATGGAGAGTTTTTCCCCCACATCTTCAATTTAAATGGAAAAAACCCCAACCAAACCAACAACCCACAGAATGTCTGCTTGCTCCATGAGGACATATATTATTTTGGGACATGGGAGAGGTACCCCAACGCACGTCAGCGGTGAACAGAAAGGAGAACATTTCAATAGTGCTATAGTGAACATATACAGATAAAGATTTACAAAGTCAATTCCAAAACATGTCAAGAAGCAGAAAGGATTTCCTAGTCATCACTACTTCAAGACTTTCACCACTTATGGGGGGGGGAAGAACCAGTATACATATATGTCCTGGTTCTGGCAAGGATAGAGTTAATTTCCCAAGGAGCCAGGACAGGTGAGCCGGGCTGGCCGGGGGCTATTCCATGCCATGTGAAGTCATGCTCACCATAAAAGGGGGCTAGTCGGGGAGGGGCGGGCTCGGCGTGGCTCCGGGACCAGTTGAGCGTCCGGTCGGTCGTCGGATCGGTAAATCGTCCTCGCGGGGAGGGGCGGGCTCGGCGTGGCTCCGGGACCAGTTGAGCGTCCGGTCGGTCGTCGGATCGGTAAATCGTCCTCGGTTATCACCCATTGTTACTCTCTGTTATCAGCACTGTCGTTGATTGTTTCCCTCTCCCTCGCTGTCCCAGTAAACTGCCCTTATCCCAACCCTCGAGGCTTTGCCACTGTTTTTCCTCCCCATCCCGCCGGGGGAGGGGTGAGCGAGCGGCGCGTGGCACTTAGCTACCGGCTGGGGCTAAAGCACGTCAATATACCATCTCAGTTTGTCCTGTAGTAAAAATACTCCTACCCACCTGTATTAAAAAAGAAAACATTGAAAGGCCTCTCTTTTTTAAAATTTTTTTTAAACTAAAATAATACTCTACAAGCATACTAAAGCCTCTCTTTTTTGTCTGGCATTTTACTTCTACACTAGTGTAAAACATTGCAACAGCAAATTTATAGGGTTGTCTCCTCTTTCAAAGGTCACAGCCATTTTAAAACTTCAGACTTCAGACTGCAACATGATCTATAGTAGCTATAAATCAGAATTAAAGGGTATAAAAACATAAAAGAAAGGCTATAACATAAAATTTGGTTTATTGTAGTTATAAGAGTAGTCACATGAATTAATCATATGATGAAGACTAAATTTTTAATGAGGCAAGAGCTATCTTTGTGAAGTTTACTGGGTCAGCAGCATGAAAAAATCCATGCATTTACATTCATAAATATCAAAAAAGCAACTAAATTCAGAATTGAATTTTTCAATTTTGGTTTTCAAGGGCACTATGAATTGGTGACTGTTCTGGGCAGAGCAGCTCATTGCCATCATCTGGAGGGGGTCAGGTCTGCTGCTCCTGCTTTTGCTCTGAACAGATGGCTGAAAAGAGATCAGCGTGCAAGTTTGAACAAAACCTGTTACTCTTCTTTGCAAATAAGCCAATTTCCAATTCTACTCTGAGCAACATTAACATAGAAAAATTCTAGATAAATATAAACTGTCTGCTTGATTTCAGCTTATATTTCATGCATAGTTTCAGCATGAGGTAAAATAAATTCAACACAAATATCTTCAGGGGAAGAAAGCAAAGGTCCAAAAATCCAGACTACTTTTTTGGCTAATGTCAGTTATTTTTCATTAATAAAATTTGATATTGGGGTTTACAATACATTTCATTTTAAATAATATATTTTTCTTAAAATTTGTTTTTAAAGAGGAAAGGAAACAGCACTTACTAGAGCTGTGATACACACTTGGGACTGTTATCAAAAAGCTGAATTAAAACTAAAGAACTTCAATCAAAAAGAGAAGATACCCAATGTCATTTACATAGACCAAACCAGCAACGTATTCCCTGATTTTCTATAATTCTAACTCCCCTGTGAGCAGACCAACAATTTGTGCTTCACAGTGAGTGAACTGTGCCTAGAGAGGAACTGAAGTTGTAAGACATTTCTTAAGACAGAATGCAAAGCTTCAGTACCAGGCTTTGACTTTTCTTCTTTTAATCAAGTAGTCAATTTGTCAGTTGTTGCTGTGCTGCACTGCTGGTTAATAACTGGTTTGAATGTTCATTCACAAGTGGATTGCTTTCAGGTTCTAGTTGCTCAAGTTTCCTGTCTGTGTTGACTACATAGAAAAGCTGCTGCTTGAAAAAACCTTCCTTAATAATGGAAGGTTTTTCCAAAACTTGACTACTCATCATTGCAGAACAAATTTCTCTCTCAAGGAGAAGAAAAGAAGAAGAAAAAAAAAAAGTTTCTGGTTAGTGAGAGTATGCATTTTCCTGGCAGATCAGAATGGTACATTTTACCAAAAAAATTACTGGACGTATCACTTCCTCCAAAACATCATGTTTTTCACTTTATTAAATGAAAACTCCACAGCCTCCATTGGTATACAACAGACTACTGATAACACTGAGGTAGTACACATACATCATAGGTCCCAAAACTAGGTAGAATTTGCACAGTACAAAGTACCTAAAAACTGCTGGCCACAGCACTGAGACATCTGAGAGACACCAGTTCTGAGCTGCTCCTAGCTTTGGAAATCAGCGGCGCACATGCACTGCCTTGGGCAGAGGCATCCACAGCATCTTTCATTTCAGCACCTGATGCATTCCCATTGCCAGTCCTAATCTCTGATTTGAAAGTACAGAAGTATAATTCGGGATATTACCTTGATGATATTGCACTAATTTTATATTACTGTATCATTATCATAGTAGTAGAATTGTGTGCATCATTTGCAGTAATTTTAGGAATGGAATGTCATAAATATAATGCTTATAGGCATTTATAAAGAAAGTACAAGCTTGTAGTGCATGAAATGATTACAACTGATCAGGGGGTGTGTATAGCGAACAACTCATTTTTTAGATGACCTTCAGAAACAGTGAATACGCTGCAGTACTAGTAGAGAATATCTCTACCACCAGCCCAAATCATCCCTTTGAACTTATTTGAATGATTTGAAAGAAGAATTTGGTGCTTTGTAAATTATTAGCAAAACAAGACATAGCGCAAACTATTAGCAAAGCACTAAATATTATCAAATCCTCAATATTACCATTCAAAGGACTGCTTTTATCCTGGAGCCCATAATGCATACAGATCAATTCATATATTTCCATTTACAAAATAAAAGAAAAGGCAACACTTAATGAAAGTAGTATTTCGATTGGGGGGGGGGGCAACACACAAACTACAGTAAAACCTACTTGGCTTTAGAAGTGGTTAGTGAGAATCAGACAACCATTTAACTGCTTCCATTTGACAAAAGTAGTCTGGTTACTACCTATAGATAAGTGATGGAAAGTGTTTTCTGTAGTTAGGTATGTTCAAATTCAGGTAATATTTTCACTTCTCAACTCGAGTTTTGCTGCCTTAAACATTTTTTTAGCATCTTAGTTATTGGTGGGTTTTGAGAGATAATTTAGCTAGATATTGTGAATTGACAGTCATTCAAATCAGAATTAGCAGCATTTTCTTTCATATGTGTACTATGAAATGACAATAGTGAAGAAAAAACATATTTTTCAATCTGCATAAGAGTCTTTTAGCCATTATCCTATGAAAAATTTCAGTATAAACAGCAGCTACATAGAATTATTTAATATACTTAGTTTTAGCTAAATATCCATTCACTATTTAAATATATCATCAATAAGGGACTTCTCAATCAGAATTCATATTTTCTTCCCCATACACAGACATTTCATAGAAGCTACAAATCCAATGGGAATCTATCCCAGAGCGTATTTTTACCTCCTGAGTAGGCCATGTGTGATGTGTAAGCTACTCAGTGACTCAGTTTGATATAAGCATTATAATATACATGTATGCTGAATTAGTATACCATAGATTACAGTTTAATATATTTATTTATCAACCAGAAAAATTACAGAGATGCACACCCCTAAAAATGCATGATTCAGTGCTCTTATTTAGGAAACATGAGGTCAGTCATCAAGGTCTATGTTCTTCTGTTTCACTAAATACAAAGCTTTCATTAAAAAAGGATCTGCGTCTCCCAAAGTAAGAGCTAAGAACAGTTAACATTTTGAACTTAACCCTGTCCCTAATTTGGATAGCTGATGATTTGTAAGATTCATCTTTGATTATTAGAAGATAAAATCATAGGGCTCATCCTTTCTTTTTGAGATCATCTTTAAGAACATTAAGATTTAAAACCTGTGATCACAACTAAGTCTAGATTTATTAAAATTAATTGCCCAGTAAATTAAAAAAAAAATTCAATTTGCATGTAAGTTTGTGTCAGTTACCTATATACTACAGAATACTGAATACTCAAGACATACTCCTGAAAAACTCATTTAAAAAAGCATTCTGCAATAAGGACTATCATTAAGATTTCCTGGTTCCAGCCAAGAGAGACATCAGTAGACTTGTCTGAAATTTGGTTTGGGACTTTTTTGGGGCCACCATCAGTTCTGCAGATTACTGCATCATTGCAACCAAACACTTGTCTATTTTCCATTTAAGTCAGAGGTATATTTAGTCTAAATAAGTCAGAATATCAAGAAGTTTTACTGCAGGTAACAGCTGCTCAACAACGAATTAAAAACTATGGGCCCTATACACAGGTAAGTCTTACTGAAAAATCTTAGTCAATTATTTCAGCATTTGCCCAAACAAATTTACTGCAACAGTTCGTCCAGAAAGTGGATGTTTGGAATTGCTATTTAAACAGAGTCTACTGAACTGGGCATTTGATTGAAAGCTTGTGACGATGAGTAGTGATTAGTAGATGCATGAACCAGACTCCAACCAGCTGCTCTTTAAATTTTGGAAGCAGCAATCCCCTTGAGACAAGCCTTAAATATCAACTGTGACTTAACTCAATGTACTCTAATAAAATAGATAGTTCATGTAAAGTATAAGAAATCCCATTGCAATCTTAACCCTTCCTGGCAGTGAGCAAACAAGACAGCCTGCCTCTGGCATATGAGCAACAGAAAAGCATCTAGATGATTTATGGAAAGACTTTGTTCTGGAAAGAAAAAAATTATGCAACTCCAACACGTGACCTTTAGTTTTCCCTAAAGAGTCAGGAGGCTTATGAAAAAACCTTAATAATAGGTACAGATGTGATGCGTATGAACTTCAAAACTGGCTTTGCTGGAAGCAATGGATGTGCCCTAAGTATCTTTCCTCATATAGCGTATTACCTAGCCCATCAGTCAAAGCAAAACTGAGAGGCATTAGATACAATTTAAAAGAAAAGCGATACATATACTGCAGACCCTGATAGGGGCTGCCAAAGTACATCACCTGTAATTGCTACAAGAAATCAATTAGGTCTTTTAGAAACCTGATTTTTTTCTGTGGGAAATTCAAGGCCTTTTGATGATACTGGCTGTAAGACTGCTGACTGAGACATGCCATCTTCTTCCAATAATCACATAGTTCAATAGAAGTAGTCTAGAATTTAATGCAGTTTTGAATACAGCAAACCAACCTTCCATATTGACTTCTGTGTTTAAAAAAGGTATTTTGCCTCTATCAAAACCTTCTGAACAGCCTCTGAACAGTTATGACTGCAAAACTCTTCTAGCAATTTAT